AGAAAAACGTAGAGGGGATGTAAAAGGCAATCGCGCGGAGGCGAATGAAATCGGACAGATTTCTCGCAGCGTAACCGTCTTTCCCTTTCCCGGCCATATCTCCCGGGCTCGGTCCAACGAAAAATTTTCAAGTTATTTCGTTTCGAATGTCTTCTCTAATTCCCCCTGGAGCATCCTCCGGCCGCATCTGGCGGCCTTTTACGCGCTCCAAAGGACTTAATAATGTTGCCAAGCACAAAGGTCAAGTCTCCTCCGCCGGAAGGCATTCGTGGCACTTTTATGAAAAGAGAAGGGTGGTGGCGCGCTTTTCTTCACAGAAAATGGGGTCCTCTGTCTCTCCCCGTTTCATCAACCCCTTCTCGTCGTCGCCCCTCCTTACTCCTTACAACCACCAGAGAAGACCACGTGCCCCGCAAAAACTTACCTCGACGACGTTTTAATTTCGTTTACCGCGGTATGCCGCTCGTTCCACGGGGCAGGAAAGGGATAGCGCGGGATCACCTCTTCCTTCTGGAAAGGATAAAAGGATAAAACCTTGTCGAAGACCAGTTCGAGACACGTCGATGATACCACAAAGGGGAAAGAGACGAACTTTGAGCCCCTTCCTTGCTTCCTGGCCAGGGGGTATCTCGAAACTCCCCCTCCCTCGCCGGCCCCGAACTTTCTATCAAGGGGGAAAAAATCTTGATGTGTGACGTGGCTGAGCGAGATCCGGCGGGAATTTGAATTTTCTCGGTTCATTTGACCGCCTCGTGGCAACCAAGTTTTCCCATTATGCATGGCTCCTTTCAACGAACCGCTACTTGTTACGTTACTTTGTTTAACATCCTCCCTCTTTTTTCTTCCTTTCTCTCTTTTTTCTCCCCCTCCCCTCCAGAGAATTACACGGTACTTGGCCCAAGTTTCTCGACACTATTCGAGCATATCCCTTTAACCCCCCCCGTCCTTTTCAACGGAGGTTTCATCTCCGTTGAAAAGGAGCGTAAATTTTATCCTTGGCGCGAATACTTACACCGTATAAAACTGGCGGTTAATGCGAAAGATCGAATCGTTATTATGGGGGAGATGAATGTGTTCAAACACACGTCTATTCCTCTATCCAAACGAAATGGACGTGCTTACGTTTCGTATCAAATGTTAGCGTATCGAAGAGATTGTACCGTTATTAAAGCAATATTTTTTCAAGGGATCGTGGCCCGTGGCTCAAAGAGCGTGGAATGAGAGAGAGAGAGAGAGAGAGAGAGAGAGAGAGAGAGAGAGAGAGAGAGAGAGAGAGANNNGAGGAAATAATGACAAGGTTAAAGGATCGGGCAATTTCGACGTCATCTCGACGAGACGTCTATAAAGTTTACTCAATTTTTCTCCCGTTCCTGATTGTTATTCTTACATCCCGTTCTTCATACGATAACAGCTACTCCCGTTAGATTACATACAGACCCTGTCTGCTGCTGCTGCAGTAAATACTACGTGACGTGCTCCCATGAGGGTAACGTTGTAACGTTGGATAAAAAAAAAAAAAAGAAAGAAAGAAAAAAGGATAAAGAGAACGGAAAGAACGGAAAAAGAATAGCGTAGCGTAGCATAGATTCGAAGGAAAATGGAAAATATCGATTCGCTGCTTAAAAATTTACTACGAGATTGCCAAAGAGAGTCGCCAACAACAAGCAACAAAAATTAAAAACTTGGCAAAGATTGCGATCTCGTGTAAAAAGATTTTGCAACAAGATCCCGATGAGAATCGAAACATTCTCACAGCGAGAGGGGATAAAGAGAAGCAGCTTCTTGCTCGAAGCTGAGCAATTAGCGATTTATTACGAGTAAACGCGGTTTAAGGAACGATCCCTCGACGTTCTACGCGATAACGATGATACAGGCGGTACCACATTACGCCGTGTCTACATCTACGATCATCCGCAGGTAAGTACACATCGGGAATTCACTCTTCTCGTCGTATTCCCGAATCCAATATACCTGCATTATCGATGGAAATCGATCGTTCGATCGATCGATCGTTCGTATATATGCATAAGGCACACATTGCAGTGTAAGGAGCGTAACGGGAGTAGCTGGAACGCAGGGGTAGCGAGACACCCCCTCGTAACACAAGCTCGTCTTCGGATAAAAGAGCAAAAGGATCGTCGGTGTCCGCCGCCTCTCCCTCTCCCTTCTTCGTCTTTTTCGTGAGAGAGAGAGAGAGAGAGAGGGGCGGCTGCCGCGCGTCAAAGAGATTCCGAAAC